AATGTTGTAGTGTATTCGGTAATTCCTACACTTATTTTATTCACGTTCTGAACATAAATCATACTAAACTGTCCATGTCTATAAATATAGTAGTTAACATTGGCCACCAGGAAAGGGGAACCTGTTCAATGTTTTTCAGAGTGAGTTAAGTCAGTACGCAATGTTGCATTAATACCACATGGCTTCTAATGAATGCTAAGGATTTGCTTCAGGAAAACTCCATTACGTGGATAGTATTCCATAAATCGAACGCTTGTTGTCAGTTGATTATATAACATACGATTTATACGACTTTGCCGCCATATCTTCGAATAGATACCATAGATTGCACCATATGCTTCCTTGACTATGAACTCACCACATCAACAAAATTAATGTAGTGAAAAACCTAGACAGATGTTCTGATCTATCATCAAGTTGAATGGCACTTTCTTTTCAAAACTGGGATTGAGAAAATCATACACTTAAAAGTATTCAAACGAGATTGAATGGAAATTTATTGACAAGGCTTTAGAAAGTTTAATCAACCACTAGGTTGATGACACGTTATAGGAACACTGGCCATACAAGGTACAAATGCATGGGGGGGGGGGTGGGGGGTGCACAAGCATTGCCGTTGTTGCAGAATGAAGGCACAGTGGTCACCCAATTGTCGCCAGGTAATTTTCCCGTCAATCTGGGTGATGCTTCTGCCTCACTTCTGCCTCCTTTGGGCGACCAACAGCGTTCATTGAACGATGACTGTGGCGACCCGAGCACGGCAACCTTTCAGACACCATGGCAATGCTTCTGCCTCTTTTCTGCCTCTTTTGAGGTACCTGTAATGCCTCCTGAGCCTGCCTATAAATCGAGGGCTTGTGTCTGCAGTGTTTAATTGTGATTGCAGACGCTGAACAACTCGAGCAGTTACTGCTGAACAACTGCTGGAGCAGTTACATAGAAACAAAATGTTCTGGGTTTAGGCGACCATTGAACGTCCTGGCCAGTCTGTATGTCTGCATGAAGTCAGGTCACTATGTGTCTGTATGATGTCAGATCACTGTATGTCTACATGATGTCAGGTCACTGTATGTCTAGATGAAGTCAGGTCACTATGTCTGCATGAAGTCAGGTCACTATGTCTGCATGAAATAAGATTACTATGTATGCATGAAGTCAGGTCACTATGTATGCATGAAGTCAGGTCACTATGTCTGCATGAAGTAAGATTACTATGTATGCATGAAGTCAGGTCACTATGTATGCATGAAGTCAGATAACTATGTGTCTGTATGATGTCAGGTCACTATGACTGCATGAAGTCAGGTCACTATGACTGCATGAAGTCAGGTCACTATGTATGCATGAAGTCAGGTCACTATGTCTGCATGAAGTCAGGTCCCTATGTCTGAATGAATTCAGATAACTATGTGTCTGTATGATGTCAGGTCACTATGACTGCATGAAGTCAGGTCACTATGTCTGCATGATGTCAGGTCACTATGTCTGCATGAAGTCAGGTCACTATGTCTGAATGAAGTCAGGTCACTATGTCTGCATGAAGTCAGGTCACTATGTCTGCATGAAGTCAGGTCACTATGTCTGCATGAAGTCAGGTCACTATGTCTGCATGAAGTCAGGTCACTATGTATGCATGAATTCAGATTACTATGTATGCATGAAGTCAGGTCACTATGTATGCATGAAATCAGGTCACTATGTCTGCATGAAGTCAGATTACTATGTATGCATGAAGTCAGGTCACTATGTATGCATGAAGTCAGGTCCCTATGTCTGAATGAATTCAGATAACTATGTGTCTGTATGATGTCAGGTCACTATGACTGCATGAAGTCATGTCACTATGTCTGCATGATGTCAGGTCACTATGTCTGCATGAATTCAGATAACTATGTGTCTGTATGATGTCAGGTCACTATGACTGCATGAAGTCAGGTCACTATGACTGCATGAAGTCAGGTCACTAAGTCTGCATGATGTCAGGTCACTATGTCTGCATGAAGTCAGGTCACTATGTCTGAATGAAGTCAGGTCACTATGTCTGCATGAAGTCAGGTCACTATGTCTGCATGAAGTCAGGTCACTATATATGTATGAATTCAGATTACTATGACTGCATGAAGTCAGGTCACTATGTATGCATGAAGTCAGGTCACTATGTATGCATGCATTCAGATTACTATGTGTCTGTATGATGTCAGGTCACTATGTCTGCATGAAGACAGAGATAAGGCATCACAGAGAGAGAGAGAGAGAGAGAGAGAGAGAGAGAGAGAGAGAGAGAGAGAGAGAGAGAGAGAGAGATAAGGCATCACAAAGTAGATAGTTAAAACCGTAAGGGTTATAAACCTGTGTGGGAAATAAACGCGAAAACGAGAAACGCAATACGGATATTTTTGGCCATAAAAGCAAAATTAGCGGACCAAGAGGTGCAAAATGAAGTTATACTGTCAGTGACAAATTTCCCGGATCAAAATGATCACAATAAGGATCACAAGAGCCTGTCTACACAACAACAATGTTGATGTTCTCCCCTGGCCCACCAGATCCCCGGATTGAACCCGATAGAGCACCCTGTGGGATGAATTGGATAGACGGCTACGTCGACGTCAGTCACAGCCCTAGACGTTGCAGCAGTTGGATTTTGCGTTGCAGGCCGAGTGGGCTACCATTCCCCAGGATGTGATTCGCATACTCGTCTCTTCCATGAGCAGGAGATGTCAGGCCGTTTTCGATTCCAACAGGGGACACACGCGTTATCGATGGTAGCTGACCTTCACCTTCGACTTTTGCTATGTACCGATAACTGAGATTACTACAATCACCAAGTGTTCTTTCCAAAACATTCTGGCTCAATACCTTGTACGGTTCCTCGTATAAAAGTATTTTCCTACCTCACAAAATCTGGCTTTGCGTTTCTTTGTTTGAAGGGTAAACCCGACTCAGTACAAGACTATGGGTAATATAAAAAGATAGTTAAACATGTATTGGTAATATAAGAAGATAGATAACCCCGACTCGGTAATACAAGACTATAGTATATGAACTTGCCACAGTGGGGACACTGCAGCACGGATGTCTTCACCGAGACGCATTCTAGTCATGGTCATTGTGGATGGTACACTTTCTGAGGGAGTTGATTGTTCACGGCTGAGTAAGCCCCAGGGATTTGGCCTACATATATCAGGTACCCGCTACAACCAAGGTGTACGGTAGTCTATCAAGAAGACGGGTATGCTGCCCCACCTGTGTGACAGTGAGAATATTCACGCTGGTTATTTGTGGAAACATTTCATCACATACAGAGGTCAGTGGGAGTTTATGAATATGTGTACTATACGGCTATTTGTAATGCGTGAGAACGAAGCTTCGCTTTTGTGCTGTCTGTTGGCACGTCAATGATATTTCTGCGGGTAGTATTATGGAGCGGTATCTAGTGAGAGACATGAAACTATTGAAAAGATAGCTGCAGTCGACGCTATATATATATATATATATATATATATATATATATATATATATATATATATATATATATATATATATATAAATGAGTGAATGAGTGAGTTAGTGAGTATGGTTTTACGCCGCTTTGAGCGATATTCCAGCAATTTCACGTCAATATCGTCGTCACACCGGTCTCACAGTCACGACACACGTCATAATGTAATTCCTACAGTCCTATAGTTAACTTCCGTTGTGTTCATGGACTATTTACAGATAATACTGTTGGGGCAATGCCGAGTACAGTTGTTACACTTTAGAAAAGTTGGTTTGTTCATTATTTATTTCCTTACATATTTCCTTATTTATGCTTCACTGAACACCTTAGGAAACCCGTGAAGATCCGGGGTAGAATAGATCTTCCGCAAACCATGCTTGCTGTTAAAGGCGACAATGCGTGTCGTAAGAGGCGACTAACGGGACCGGGTGGTCAGGCTCGCTGACTTTGTTGATGCATGTCATCGTATCCCAATTTCGTTGATCAATGCTCATGATATTAAACAACAAACATACAAACACCTTATCCTATTTCCGTTTTACGTATATCTGATCAGATATTAGAATTTTCATCTGGTAAGGCATCCATTAAGTTTAATACACTCTCTAATATCGATATATTCCGTGAAGATCCAGGTCAGATTTGGTCTTCAGCAACCCATACGTGTCGTAAGAGGCGACTTAGGGGATCGGATGGCAAGCTGGATGTATATCATCGTATCACATTTGTATATATCGATGCTAATAATGTAAATCACTGGATTGTCAGATTGTTTACATATAGCTAGAACATTGCTGAGCACGGCGTTAAACAACAACAAACATAACAATACCAGGGATATACAAGTGTGACCGACCAATAAACTGTGTCTTACAAACGTAACGCAGAACAGTAAATGGGTGCCCTTAAGATGTTGTCATGTTCGTAATCACGGCGGATGTGAGGTAGCGCTCACTGAGTGAGACAGCTGAGATGGGTATACCCTTAATAAACATCTTAAAGAAGATAGCACATTGATTCTGTCTTGACAGTACTTTTTTGTCACCGGATACACGGTGTGCATATATGAGTAAGAGGTTACTGTTTTAACACCAGAACCGCAACTGTTGTGTAGTGGAAAGAGCGTCTACCCGGAGCGTGGATGGTCAGGGGTTTGGTCCCCTGACCCCGCCGTACCAAAAGACGTTACTTGTTGTTAACTTGCGAGGTGCTTTGCCTAAAGGGGAAAGGACGGCTCAGAGTCCGTATACTATGTCTGAGTGTGGCATCTATGTTAACCTGCGCATGGTATCTCAGTAGGCTAGCACTTGGGCATGTAAGTCTGGAATAGTACACGAAGCCACACACACATGTGCATGCACCCTGCAATATCAGTAAAATAGTTTTCATCGCAGCGTTAAACCCAATTTCACCTCCCCTCCCCCCTAAGATACACCATGGTTGATTTACAAGTGTAAAGCTATTGAATGGCCATATATACACGTAGAGGCATAATATATGATGTAACGTATCACATTTCAGATGGCGACCTCACAAAAGGGAAACGAAAATTGTCTGACATGTGTCATATGTCACGAGATGTTTGACAAGCCCTGTACACTTGTGTGCAATCACACCTTCTGTCGGAAATGTGTCATCAACTACACCAAGACCAGACCAGAAGCCATCAGTGCCAAGTCCCTCCTCTGTCCATTCTGCAACAAGATGACGAAAGTGTCTGCTCCTGAGAGACCAGTGGAGAAGTGGGCGGATGACGTCAAGTCTATCTTTGTCATCCAGGGACTCTTGGACTCGTTTGGTCCGGATTCTACAGGTAGATTATATACAGCCAATACTAAAACAAAATGTGTGTAAGGCATTGCCCAAAAATATACAAAACAAATTCCCATCATCATCTATATATATTTTGTGTACATTATTGTAAAATGAATCAGAGTGTGTCAAATGGGGTTTAATCCCGGGATGTTCTGGAGAGTTCACTGCGTATGCATGCTTTTAACTACAAGTATATTTTTTTCTCAAGCCCAGTTTGTTAACTACAAGTATATTTTTTCTCAATCCCACGTGTCACACAGCTCAGTGGAATGAGAACAACATCTGTCTAGGTTTTTATCCATATTGATTCTTTTGAGCTGGTGGTTCACGATCATGATCAATCATTTGTCACAGTAGAACATGCCTCACTTATTGTATCTATTCTGAGAGAAGCAAAGTAGTCACAGTAGTAGTAGAAGTAGTAGCAGCTGTAGTAGAAGTCGTAGTAGTAGTAGTAGCAGCAGCAGCAGTAGTAGTAGTAGCAGCAGCATTAGTAGTAGCAGTCGTAGTAGTAGTAGTAGCAGTCGTACTGGTAGTAGTAGCAGCAGCAGCAGCAGCAGCAGTAGTGGTAGCAGACGGTGTAGTAGTAGTAGCAGCAGCAGTAGTAGTAGCAGCAGCAGTAATAGAAGCAGTCGTAGTAGTAGTAGCAGAAGTAGTAGGAGTACTAGTAGTAGCAGCAGTATTAGTAGCAGTCGTAGTAGTAGTAGCAGCAGGAGTAGGAGTAGTAGTAGTAGCAGCAGCAGTAGCAGTAGTAGCAACAGTCGTCGTCGTCGTAGTAGTAGTAGTAGTAGTAGCAACAGTAGCAGCAGTAGTAGTAGTAGTGAGTTGGGTTTTAACGCCGCTTTGACCAGTAGGTTTCTGAACTGTAGATTCGATGTTAAAGTATAACTCACTCACGTTTCAAAGAAAATTCACATTTGACCGAACCGAGGTGCAAACGGAACACAACTACGTTATATTTGTAACACAGTCGATAGATCTGAATATATGTGATGATGATGAATAATGATTTTAGTATTACTATTCGTATTCGTAAATTCGTAAATTCGTAACTATATTGTAATCATTGCTTCTTACGGTTTTTAACAGCAAGTCCGTTTATTGCTTTTTCATTTCGATGTTTTCTCATGATCTTAATATAATCATTAAAAAAATATACTGCAAATAAATATAACAAATTCATATTTTGAGAGTTACATAATTTATCTGACGAGTTATGCCCCCTCTTGTTGTCACAACTACCTACTTTTAATGATAAATCTGGTTCAAGTCAGAGAGGAAACACAGTTGGGAACATTTTCATCATAATCCCTTTCCACATGAAGGGTATTTTATCCTAGTTTCGTAGAAGTCTCTTGGCTGTCATGAGCTGCTATGATGTCATCGTTGGAGTCGAAATGGGCTCCAGCTGGAGCTTTATTCAGATGGAGGTCTCAGAGCCAGATCAGGACAATAAGGTGGATGCTAAGGAGTTCAAAGCCACATTTGTGGATTGTTGCCATGGGAATGACTGATTTGTGCACAGGCGCAGTGTCCTGGTGGAAGAACACACCCTTCCACTGCGTTCCACGTCTCTTAGTCATAATTTCATCCCGCCATTGCCTAAACACGTAGCACGTTATACTTTGTTTATTGTTTGGCCTTTTGAAAGATAGTCCCTATGATGACCCTCAGCTTCCCAGAACACGGAGGTAATATGCGATGTAACAGTAGTGAGATAAACTCGTATGTTAAGTAGGGATACAGTTTCACTCAGCACTGTCAGCGGTTTGAAGTCACACGATAACTATACTCACCGCCAAAAGAAACGCGAGCCATAGAAACAGAACGAGAAGTATGTACATTGAGAAGAGATGTGAGACCTAGCGATATACCCTAGCTCCTCGATATAAGAGCTTTATATGTCTTGTTATCTGGCTTATATTTTATATATCATATAAATAATCAACAGATGGTAGCCGATTGTTTAAAATTGGCAAGCGTCATTGTCATTGACTCAGGTTCGATATGGCACACACGGAACACTAGAGTTTCAAGGTGAAGATCATCTGTTCTCAATATCTTGTATGGCCACCATGAGAGTCAAACACTGAGTAGCATTGTCGTCCCATGGAAGCAGTCAGATCCCGAAACCTTAGTTGTTTCTTTTAACCAAACATCATTGCATTGGAATTCCATTCGTTTGCAAGAGCATATGATTCTGGTGTATGCTTAGCTGTCATATCCGTAGTACTGCAACAAATTGTCAATTATTTGATGCCTAAAACTCTGTTAATGGACCATTCTAACAACCCTCCATCATCTACAACTTGGTCTGATCTGCTTGGTCTGAGTCCTCCTTTCCGTCGTTACGGTATTAGGATAGTAACGAGGTTTCCTTGCAGCGTATCGAAAAATAACCTTTGTAAAACAGTAAGTTTGATAGGGATCGGTTAAAGGGGTTAAGGGTCATAAACCCTTTTATGAAGCCTGAATACAACAACCAGGTGGTCGTTGTAGAGAGGAAATCTAAAAATGATTAGTCATTTGATCATCTAGACAAAGTAACGATCAATTAAATCTGCGAAGTTTCATGAAAATTCGATAAGTATTATTTTATAGTGATAACCCTTAATGTAATTTTTTTTATCTATCACTTTTTACATTAAGAGTTGTAACAAGGGTGAACCCACAACCCTTAATGTAAAACATTTTTACATTAAGAGTAATTTTTACATTACGGGTTGTAACAAGAGTAAGCACGTGACCCATAATGTAAAATTATTCACATTAAGAGTAATTTAACCAAGTCACCCGATCCCTTTAGTCGCCTCTAACGACAAGCACATTCGCCTTTTACGGCAAGCATGGGTTGCTGAAGACCTATTCTACCCCGGATCTTCACGGGTGGAAATACACGAAAACAGAATAAAAATTGCGATAGCGCCGAGAACAAGCGAAAACAGCCGAAATTTAATCCTGTATAGTGTTCCGTCCATTTTTCTGTTACTTCCTGCTCATCACGTCTCTGCTGGTTCCATCCACATCATCTAAAACAGAAAACTTTTCAAGACTGATATCCCTATAGAAAAAGAGAAAAATATCTGCACATGTAATTTATTTCGGTTAAGAATACAACTCATTCAAGAATGCGGTGATCCTACTAAGGTCTTCCAGGCTGAGGGCATCCATTGGCATCTTCCTTAAGAGCTCATGAGATAAACGCGACGACAAACAAGCATTTCCATAGTCATAGGAAATCTCAACTAAAAGTAAGCATGTGTTTATGAATCATTTACCCATAGTGACGATACCAGGTGTTTGCTAAAAGCTGAGTGTATCCTGCCCAACCGATGATACCCATCACAAACACATGCAAAGGTAAGTCAATTGTTCAACTTAACAAACACAGGAACATATGGTACAAGGCAAAATAGGGAATTGCAACAGACATGTTTTTTCCCATGGATGCGTCAAATTTGGAAATACCCTCCATTTGTCTACCGTAACCTCTTTATGGAAGCTTTTGTTGTTTAGCGCCGCACTCAGCAATATTTCAGCTACATGACGGCGGTCTGTAACTTATGGAGTCTCGACCAGACAGTCCAGTGATGGACATATGAGCATCAATCCACATAACTGAGATACGATGACATGCATCAACCAAGTCAGCGAGCCTGACAACCCGATCCCGTTATCCGCCTCTTACGACAAGCATAGTCGCCCGTTACAGTAAGGATGGGTTGCTGAAGACCCATTCTACCTCGGATGGTCACGGGTCTGTACGTTGTGGCCCTGATCAAACAACAAATGACGCTCTTTGAAATCTTCATAGAAAGAGCATGCTCGAGTATACCTCAAAATAAGTGTAATGTGGACACCAAAGACTTGAGCAGCTTAAATATTGCTTGACATAAAAGGGAAAGTTGGCCATTGGAAAGTTGAAGTCATCCCTCTTGTCATGCAGTACATACTACATATCATGTAATATTTGTTCAAGGAAGGACTATGAGAAGATTTGAGACTAGACCCACATGCTGCGGTATCAGTTGGGACGTACTGTAGCGAGAGTCTACGTTATTTCGCGTTCAATCAACGGAACTTGCACCTCATATGTTGTGAAATGTAGTAGGCTGGTGCTTCTGGCATATTGCTCGACATAAAGGAGAGTTAACTACTGGACAGTTGAAGTCATCCATTTAGTCTTTGTGGAAAATGTTTGCCACTTTGTCCGGATTAACGAGGTTTCACGGCATACAGTTACGTTGAAATGTGTGTGAATGTTGTTTTGCATCTCAGTCACCAATATTTAAAGTATATCCTGGCAGCCAGGAAACGCTCTCTCTACTAGACTATGGAGGCGGTATAATTCTTAAGTGTAGATATTGCACAGAAGTAGACTTTACCTGTCCAGATGGGGGATATTCTGTCACGGGTAAGCACTTTCCCTCTACACCGCCAGTGAGTGACACCCATACGGAGAGTGGAGGCTGTGCAGTGATGCTGTGGTAAGACAGTATATATCATTATACACTTATATCATAGAAACGAGGATTAACTAAGTTGTTGTGGTAGTTTTAATTTTCCTGTTTTTCGAAAGAGTAGCTTTATGCATTTGGCATAACAGACTTAGTAATGGGAGTATTAAGCAGCCCCGTCTGAGGTTTTGGAGTTTGACCACCGCTTGCTGGATGATCTCAAGGATATCCGATCTTGCACATTTTCATTATAGTCCTGGGAATATGTTTATTAACACACCGCCTAACTCGAGAAAGAAATAGTTAAGGGTGACCCTCGTATATAAGGCCAAGTTATATAAGGTTATTCGTAAGGTTTCTTTGTCATTGTAACTAATTCCGCTATGTATTTAACTAAAAGCAACAAAACACTTTCCAAAGCCACAATAAATTTCTGACAAAAGCAGCGTCCACTGTACGGTTCCGACTGTATTATGAACAGTTGTTTATGAATCACTATCAGATAGGGAGGATTCCAGATGTGCGCGGGAAGGTGATAATGTCCTACACCACTGGTAACATCACAAACACATGCAAAAGCAAGTAAATTGTTTACCTGAAATAAATACAGGAACTTTTGGTAAAGTCAAAATAGGGAATTGCATCTGACAGTCTTGTCACTGATGCATAACATTTTGAAATGTCATCCAAATGTGTACTGTAAAACTTTCTGAAAGCTCTACTGAGGCTTAGAATGTTGTAACCTTCATTAAACCACTTTTGAGCAAGAATCGTATGACGTGAATATACTTGGATATATATTCATGTCATGAGGGTCATTTATAAGGGGGCGGTCGGGGAGCCTAGTGGTCAAAGCGTTCGCTCGTCACGCTGAAGACCCAGGTTCGATTCCCGACATGGGTACAATGTGTGAAGCCCATTTCTGGTGACCCCGCTGTGATATTGCTGGAATATTGCTAAAAGCGGCGTAAAACCATTCTCACACATTTATAAGGTATATGTATTGTGTAAACTGTTCTTCAAATGTTTCAGATGGGGACCTCTCAGAAGCTAACAGAACATTTCCTGACCTGTACAATATGCACAGAGGTGTTTGATAATCCCTGTACGCTTGTGTGTAATCACACCTTCTGTCGAAAATGTGTCGTCAACTACACCAAGACCAGACCAGAAGCCATCAGTGCCAAGTCCCTCCTCTGTCCATTCTGCAACAAGATGACGAAAGTGTCTGCCCCTGAGAGACCAGTGGAGGAGTGGGCGGATGACGTCGAGCCAATCTTTATCATCCAGGGACTCTTGGACTCGTTTGGTCCTGGATCTAAAGGTACAGTAGTAGTTGTGTCTCAACAGGCTGCAATCTAATTACCTGAGATTTGATATACAAAAAGTAAATTTAACTGAGAACTGTACCTATATGTATTTCTGCACAGGAAGAACAGTATGTTTTAATGTGATACTTGTTATTATTGTTGCTTCACGTTTGTCCATGGTGTTTTTGGTGTATTTGCCGAAATACATCCTCATCTTACATGGTGGCAATGTCTGCAGTAACAATATCATCTAGTTCACATGAGCTGTGTAAATATTGGAGAAGAACTTGGACAGATGTAGATTCAACAAATAACATAGAAAATACATTGTAGTGAAAATAGAATAATTGTTGAAATACACCACATATAGATGGCTCCTCTTCTCCTCTCACTACACACACCACATTGAAGATTAATATACATTTGCAGATACAGCCTCCTGCAGCTACTGTAGGGAGGAAGAGGAGACAACTCCAGCTGTTGTTTGGTGCTCGGTCTGTGATGAGGCACTCTGTGACAAATGTACTGGAGCTCACAACCGGATCCCCTCATTACGGAAACACAAAGTCATTGACCTCTCCGGCGAGGTCAAGGTCAGAAGAAGAAACAATGTGACATGTAAAGAGCACAAGGACGAAACTATCAAATATTTGTGTAAAGATTGTAATAAAGCTGTTTGTCAGACATGCTGCACTATCTACCACAGGAAATGTGACTCGGTCGTCACACTCGAGTCGGAAATGATGGCTGTGAAGACAGAGCTGGTGAAGATGAAAGATACTTTGTCAAGGAGAAGACACAAACGAAACACACAGGTGCAGAAAAAGAAATCAGTGATGGCAGAAGAAATACGTCAACATTCACAGACGGAATCCGATATCAAGTCTGCAAGTCTGAAGGCAATACAAGGGATAAAACTCAAGGAACAGAAACTTTTGGATGAACTGAAAGAGATGTCAGACAAACACATCGGACAACTGGAGGCAGACATTAAGTCAGGGGAGATGTCAGTACAGATGTACCAACAACAGGCGGAGCTGATAGACCAGGCTCTACAATCTGAGTGTGACATGGATGTGTATGAGATGTATCAGGGATGTGAGGCGGATGATGTGGAGGCTGTCAGAGACGCAGATGTGAAGGAGAGAAGAAGAATAACCGGGGTCACATTCAGACAGGACACGGACAAGCTGAGTAAATCTCTGGACGGTCTACAGCTGGGTGAGATAGACATCCTGTATGAGGATGAGCTGGACCTGAAGGCTACTCCTGTGTTACACGACACCATTAACGTCAGAGTAGCAGGCGACAGTACCCAATCATCCCCGCGTGACGTGACAGTGATGGTGGTGAATGACACGGATACAGTTGTAGTCACCGACCACAACAACCAGAGTGTGAAGTCCTTCTACATCAGGAATAACCAGACACGTCACAGTAAACTCAGTCTGCGTGGTCGACCATGGAATCTGACAAAGTTGACACACAACCAGGTGGCCGTCATTGTCAGTAAAATCAATCAGATCGTAACAGTAGAAGTCAACCCTGACCTGGTGCTGCTGTCAACCATCACAGCCAGCAAACGGTACATGGGGATAACGTCCCTGACACCATCAACACTAGCAGCTAGTTCCCAGTCTCCTCCCTGTGTTGATATCCTGGATATGGCGGGAAACGTGCTGAGGTCAATCAGTCCATGCCACAACCGTAACAACATCTTACAATATCCCAACTTCCTCTGTACCACGAGGACAGGAAACATCCTGGTGTCTGACGGTGGAACCAAGTGTGTCGCGTGTCTGACCCCCGAGGGAGATGTGGTGTTCACCTACAGCCCTACAGGATACACAGCACTGAAGTCTCCCCAGGGTATCACAAGTACCAGCACAGGTGACATCCTGGTGACAGACTACCTTCTACACAGAGTCATCCATCTGACGGAGTCAGGACAGTTTGTCAGAAGCATACCGCCCCCAAAGGACGGTATCAAAAACCCCAGGGGTGTGTGTGTAGACGGACATGGCCACGTGTATGTTTGTCTAAATAGCGGAGTTATTAAGGTGTTTACATGTAAACGCTGACAACGTGTGTTTGTGACATATATATGTGTATAGAACTCTCTCAGGTTCCTGTCGTCTTTAGGAAGGAATTCATAAAAGCCCAAACTGTATGATACTGATTATCCGCAAGTTGCCTTATGGATAACGAGATGTAATTTAGTCTATCTCAGAGCTGTTTTTTGTGTTAACCTGTGTGGGGTGTGTCAGAACCTAGAAAATTTGAAACATTGCAAACCCAAAGTCATGGCATAATGAAACGATGTATTTTTTTGTGTGAAAATAACTTAATGTCTGTAGTATTCTTTTCCCCGTTGACGGTCATACATGTTTTGATTTTACTTGTATGTGTTATAAAAATTTATGTTGATAGACCTGAAATTGGATCTGTATCAATATATTTTTAAAGTTCTGAAAGTTCTGTTTTGGACTTTCCATGTTTCTCTCAAAATACATCAACATAGTGAAGTAATCAGGATTGCCGAGACGCGTGGTGGACGGTCATTCATTTTTTAATTTTACTTTTACGTGCTATTAATCAATGTCGATAGACCTGAAATTTGATCTGTGCATATATTTTTAAAGTTCTGCAGGTTCTGTTTTTGACATCTGGTAATTTTAGAAACGGCTTCTATTGACATCCACAATGATTCATACTTCCATACTGTAAGAAGTGAGTCAGTATGATTTTACGCCACTTTAAACAGTTGTTCAGTTATATTACGGCATGTTATCTTCATGTGGAATAAGAGCCAGAAGTGATAGAGACCTGAGACATTTATTAAGTTTGTCAAACCCACCAACCCATGATCGTATGATTCCAGTACGCTTTGCACAGACAACCCCTGTCTTCCCCTCGCATTATCTTCTCCTCCTCACTGACAGACACCCCTGTCTTCACCTCGCATCACCATCTCTCCTCACTGACAGACACACCTGTCTTCCCCTCGCATCACCTGTCTCCCCCTCACTGAAGAGACACCCCTGTCTTCCCTCGCATCACCATCTCCCCCTCACTGAAGAGACACCCCTGTCTTCCCTCGCATCACCATCTCCTCCTCACTGACAGACACCCCTGTCTTCCCCTCGCATCACCTTCTCCTCCTCACTGACAGACACCCCTGTCTTCCCTCGCATCACCATCTCCTCCTCACTGACAGACACCCCTGTCTTCCCCTCGCATCACCATCTCCTCCTCACTGACATACACACCTGTCTTCGCCTCGCTTCACCTTCTCCTCCTCACTGACAGACACCCCTGTCTTCCCCTCGTATCACCATCTCCTCCTCACTGAAGAGACACCCCTGTCTTCCCCTCACATCACCTTCTCCTCCTCACTGAAGAGACACCCCTGTCTTCCCCTCGCATCACCTTCTCCTCCTCACTGAAGAGACACCCCTGTTTTTCCCCACGCATCACCTTCTCCTCCCCACTGAAGAGACACCCTTGTCTTCCCCTCGCATCACCTTCTCCTCCTCACTGAAGAGACACCCTTGTCTTCCCCTCGCATCACCTTCTCCTCCTCACTGACAGACACACCTGTCTTCCCCTCGCATCCACTTCTCCTCCTCACCGACAGACACCCCTGTCTTCCCCTCACATCATCTCCTCCTCCTCACTGACTGACACACCTGTCTTCCCCTCGCATCCCCTTCTCCTCCTCACTGACAGACACCCCTGTCTTCCCCTCGCATCACCTTCTCCTCCTCACTGACAGACACCCCTGTCTTCCCCTCGCACCACCTTCTCCTCCTCACTGAAGAGACACCTGTCTCCCCTCGCATCCCTTTCTCCTCATCCATGACTGACAACCCTGTCTTCCCCTCGCACCACCATCTCCTCCTCACTGAAGAGACACACCTGTCTTCCCCTCGCATCACCTTCTCCTCCTCACTGACAGACAACCCTGTCTTCCCCTTCCCCTTCCTCGCATCACCTTCTCCTATCACTATCTCCTCACCACTGTCAGACACTCCTCGCCTCTATGCCTCCATCTCCCATCTGGGATTTGAAGCCACGATAATAGGATCCTGATAGGCACTCCTGACTTACGCAGCTCTGCATATTGTGTTTAGTAACTGTATTTACAGTGTTTGAGTGTTTGAGTGGTGATGTGATGTCCATGGATTATGATTTCTGCTGCTGTTGCACGTGCGCCAAGCTTCGTCGAGAGCTGATCGTAACGATACGAGGTTCACGACTCTATCCAATTACGTGGGGACCTAAGCGTGTACTTTTGAAATCGCTTGCAAGTTTTAAATACACGATAACTAGAATTTATATTGAACACACAATGCCATTTACAAATGTAACATATTTGGAAAAACACTTTCTTAATTAAAGTATAGATTCTCATACTTTTTTTAGTTGAGTCCCGTCCGGGATTCCAACCCACACTGCCAGTGTTATCCCAAATATATTTGGTACAAGGATTTATATGTTTAACCGATCCTTAGTTTCTTCTCGTCAAAGGTTTATCTAGCTTTTTTAAACGCGAACATTGTTACAGGTAACAGGCTGTAACAGGACATAATGCATATCACGTTCTGAGCTTTTAAGGATTTTGGATATTGGAAATGATAAAATAGCTAATTTCACTGTGACGTGTCGCCGTATCCGAGGTCAACTATTACACGTCATCAAATCATACTAATCGGATTCTAGCCACGCTGGAGACACATGCTCCGATAACATTAGTAATCATTCTCTTGATTGTCAAATAAGAACTTTAGATCAGTCTATTCCGAGTAACAATGAACCGAAATGTTGATTCAAGATAAAGTGTAATTGATAGCCAGCTACATTCTTAAACAATAATGGAGCTCTTAAACAATGGAGGACGTCACAGATATTTTTGAACCCGTGGATCGATTACACTGAACCAGGTTCTATCTGGATTAACAGGGTATTACGGTTTACAATTACTGCCTGAATGTTGTTTTACGGCTCAGTCCGCAATATTTCAACTGCATCTTGGCAGCCTGGGCCAGAGAAATCAGTGATTGACAGCATGAGCAACGATGCATGCTGTTTGGACACGGTGCCACACGATTGGCAATGTCAAACGTCATACCCCCCTCCACCCCCCACCCCACCCCCACCCCCCATCTTCAGTAGTCGGCTGGTACAAGAATGGTGCACTAGAGATCTACTCAAACTGTGGAAGATCAAATTTACTCTCATGATCGCACAAAGTGTACTTCGTTATAATAACCGAAGAAGTATTTATTGTAGTAGGACGACAGTACATATCAACCTGGTAAGGCAAGGTTGGGCAAAAAAAATTCCTCTCCACATCTCTCCGAAGAGTCCCACAAATGTTCGATTGGCTTCATGTCAGGACTTTTGGTTGGTCGGTTTGTTGTTTAACGCCGCACTCAGCAATATTCCAGCTTTATGACGGCAGTCTGTAAATAATCGAGTCTTGACCAGAAAACCCAGTGATTGATATCATGAGCATCGATCCACGCAATTAGGATCAATGACATTCATCAACCAAGTCAGCGTGCCTGACCACCCAGGCGACAAGCAAAGTCGCCTTTACGGCAAGCATAGGTTGCTGAAGCCCTATTCTACCCCGGATATTCACGGTCCGGACGTTTAGCCGGCCAAGGCATAACATCCACTTTGTTAGCTTGCAGGAAGTGCCGTGTGATGCGTGCGGTGTGATTTGTGGCATTGCCATGCTGAAACGTCATGTTGGCGTTGGCGTTGAGGTAAGGGACACCATGCTGAGCAGGAATCTCGCCCCTGTAGCGCATCGCATTCATATTGTTACTAATAGGAACAAGAGCTGTGCTATGACCGTGTGCAGTTCCAGCCCAAACCATTCCGATCCAGTTCCTTAAAAACGATCTCTGTCAGAAACACAAGCGCCAGCATAACGTTCATTCATCCGTCTATACACCCAACGTCGACCGTCACCTCTGGAGAGTGTAAAACAGGATCCGTCACTACAGAGCACTCCCTGCCATTAACGTCGAGTCTAACGCAGACGTGCACTAGCCCACTCTCGACGTTGGCTAGAAACTGGCCCAACGTATGGCCCCTGGCTCTCAGACCATATTGTCACAGCCGATTGCGAACAGTTTGTTAAGTGCAGTCACAGTTGATGGGAGAAAACGATTGCGTAAATGTGACGTCCCAATATAGCGGTTTATAGCTGGCGTTGTTAGACGTGGACGTCAACTCTCGGACTCCAGTTGCATTGTAACGTTCCCTCGGACGTTGTACTGGCCTCACGGACGCACCAACATGTAATGCAACGTCTGCAGTACGCATGCCTACTTGCAACATTCCGATGGCTCTGTCACGAGTGTATCTGGGGATTCTTGGCATTTGTTTTAAAGATAAACGTAGGAAAAAGAATGTGTTTTCCGGTGTTTTCTCGTGTGTTCTAATAAGGCACCCTAACATTCATGCATACGTATTTTACTCGTGCGACGATCGTGCGTTTCGCATGTTTACAGGATTTGGGTTGTTATTGTAATAATGCCGTTATTTCAAGGGAACTGTTCCATGAAGAAATTATAGGTTTGCATAATATTAGCTAGATCATAATTTTGTTGGTAGGTGTGACTGTGGCAACGGTATGGCCATGTCAACGCGAACTGAGTCCAAATGTTTGCATGTTACTGCCTGGGCGAGAGAGAAAATGGAGCTGAACCTTTGGGTTTCGTAACTCAACATGAAAGATTCTCAGTAAAGTTCACCAACATACAGTTGACGCTCCTGGAAGTCAGCTTGGCAGGCCCATAAGACGATAACGAACCACTTCATAAGTATGTTCCTTCTTTACTGATGATAATAACTATAACCATAGTAAATTTTGCTGCATAGATTAATATTGACATATCCTTATCATTGTACTGCATCAGATATTCTTCTAAACTGTCAGCGAGTGAATAAAGTGTGATCAGTTCCAAAGACCTGCAATCAAATTAACAAATAACTAGCACAAAACTGAAGGTGAAAATATTTAATTTGCATACCATTTCTTAACATACAAAAGTGCTCAATTAATACAATGTGTACACGGACTTCACAGAGACGTGCTGGCCATAATAACCAAGATCGAGGAGCAATGAATTATGACATCTGAACATAATTTATTCCGGTATGGTAACAAATTTATACAATTTCATATCACCGATTAAGAACACTAGTCATGTGGCATACAACCGATTTACCAGATGGATCCATGGAAGGCTAATAAACATTATCGTCGTCCTATACCATCATGTGTGGTAACTGCAATTAGGGAATACTTTCCATCTGAAGAAGTGGCAGAATTCAAGTACCTTTGACCACCTAAATACATCAATCACTTATGATTCTAGGTCACACATTAGACACTTATGATTTCAGTTCATACATCAGACTTATGGTTCTACTGACAGATAATGTCTGAATGCGTCTTGTGAGATATAATTTTGCCTTAGGAACTGCCACTATAGTTAAGAAGAAATGTCAAAATTATTTATAAATACATGCACAAGATTATGTGTCGACATATTTAAACGAGGATAGTCCAGGTCAGAGCTGTGGACATATTCTCACAATGTTATTTATTAGATTCCCTGAATCATAAATCTCATAATATCCCATCAAGATCCAGGCTATTGCATGTCCATTCGATTGCGATAAGTACCATGGATCAACTGGACATGATTGCTTTGATTAACAGGATTACGTCAGCAAGGTTTTTGTCCAATCAAAAGGTCAGCATGTAATTTATTTCGCAAAACTGGATTTGTCTCCAGATATGTATGTGCAGCAGTGCAGAGTGAGAAGGAAGCCATCAATCATATTGAGTTGATACGGTATCCTTCCATCAGCCATACAGGCCATGTGCCATACAGCTTATAACAACATAGGATATGCATGACAGGACCACAAATCCCCTGCCTTCTACCTATCAATATGGACTGTTCCACACAGATCATTAACTGTGTTTATGTTTAAGTTTGAATTATAGGGAACACCAGGATTATAATTATGAATGATCTTGTGCTAATTCATTTCAGATTGTAAGAAAACAAATTGTAAATCAGAAAAGTAATTAATAAATGAGTATGGTTTATTCAACATAATATTATAAATAAGAAACATGTTTAACAAGAATTAATAACATAATTCAACATTCAACGCATTAATGAGTTTCCAAGCTTCAATACGTGACCTGCAGCATCAAGGAACTGGATTGGACTTGTCCTTCCTTGGGTCAGTTGATCTTTCAGTCTCTGGAGACTATTGTCAACCTCACGGTAGACCAGCTTTCTACTTGGTTCAGGTGCACCAAGGTTGATCTGCGCCAATTTCACCTTGTCAGCTTTCTCAAGTATCTCAAGATACAGGGTGTTTATCATAATAGAATGGAGATATGATGGCCTTGATAATTGGAAGAAGAGTATCTGTTAATATTTGTCTGAAATGATTATCCAAAGATCACTATGAAACCTAAAATGGTTACAATTACGGAATTAATAAATTAAAATTTGATTCTGACCAGAACAAATATATTGAATGTTAGAATAGAACACATTCATGACACCTGATACTTCAGATTTAGTATACATTCGTGTTTAAATGGCATTATGTAAGGATAATGCTCAATTCGTATCCTTTTTAAAAACCCTTTAACAAACTTTTGACCCAAGATAACATATGACTGCCGACGCACATAGACATGTCATGGACTTTGTACTTTGTGCACAGTGTCCCACCCAACTAGCGGGGATCACACAGGTTGTCATTATGTCCACGTGAAACACGAGATATTCAGACAGTTCTCGGACTACGGTTACCAGAATCTCATCACAAGCAAGGTAATGTTGTGTGCAGGTGTATTTGCCTCGTGTTTTCCTGGCTGGGGCTGGGTATCCAGTGTGTCAGATCTGTCTGTAATGTGCTTTGTTAGGTAAATGCGATCTAACTTACACATTACACCCTGAGTTGACTTCATATTGGGTAACATGTTTCTTGATATATGCCTGCAGTATAAGCACATGTGTATCTTGTCAACTAGATCAGGCCATGCCACCTTGATAGCAGTGACAGTATTGTTGTGTTATATGTCATGTAGAGATGTGTCTGTGTACACGTCTGTGGGGTACATGGCAAACCCGGAAGTTAAACCTGGGTATGGATATAGAATAACTGGGTCATGATAGCGCGTTAATGATTGTTCTGGTTAAAACACGACCACTGCTTGAGTGGTAATACAAATATCATGGGAACGTATTTACTGCCATGAAATGTTTGTTAGTGTATGTAATGTTGTGAAACTATTTGTTTGGCCAAGCAAAGAGTTCAAACCGAAACCTGCTGTAATTAAAACTGAACAATTGGAATTTACAGGAATCAAATCTTCGTGCAAAACCTCTTTATTCATAATCACGTTGATATTAAATGACTCATATATCAGGTAAAACATCATCTATGCCTTGCTTGGACTATTGTAACGGTCCCACAAACAAGTTCAATTGATACTGCAGACGTGAAATTGATGTAGCTCTCGGTATACCATCCTATAGTAATGCTGTTTTTCGTGGGATTATCTGTTGAATAGACATCGTCACAGCAGTTCCGGGTAAAACTGTTCCCCAGCAACTCATGTTTCTTGTAACATGCGATTGAATGGATTGGGTGGTCAGACTCAGTGTCTGCGTCACCGTACCCCGACGTGATATCAACCACTGTCTGATCCAGAATGAATAGATCTCCAGGATAGAACTCGGATATTTTACTGACTGTTGTTAAGAAAACAACAACCAAGAAACAATGTTTGAAATTGCCTGGCCATCGGGTTTGAGAAAGTTGTGCTTTCAAATATATATTTTTTACTTATTATTGATACTGAAAAGCCAGTAGAATGCAAGATTTTTACAATGTAATGGAAGAATGTTTGCTTACGGAAAAAGTAACTGTGCTTCATAAAGTTTAGTAGAATAGTTTTATTCTGAAATTTAATCATATCTTTCAACACATACTCATGAAGGTCTTGATTCAATTTAAGTACGGCGCACAATTTGGGATGTTTCTGTGTTTGTTAGGAGTATGATACTAACACAAGTGATTTTTTGGTAATTATGACAGCTTATTATGAATGTTTAGCTATCGGGTGGTCATAAAAACACTTTTGTTCAACCGTAAATAACACTTACGCAATGCCACGCCTTGCTGAAAATCACCGTCTACACGCCGTGTGTATGCTGCAAACAGGAATGAAGAATAACGAAGTTGTCAGACACTTTAGTGTCATTCGAAACACAATAACCCCTCTTTGGAGATGTTATCTACAGTAGGGCAACATTTATGACTTGCTACGGGCGGGTTGTCCACGTGTGACGCCACCTCAACAAGACACCACAATCGGTTGGTGCATCTAAGGAATCGACACCAAACTGCCCCATTCAGAACACGGAAAATACTTGGTTTGAGATTAAGTAGTGGCAGATCCGTAAGCAATAGGTTGAGGGAGCACAACGTGCAGCGACACGCTTGATTTTGCTTCCACGTCACCGTCAGGCACGCCTTGGTGTAGATAGCATCTGAAGTTCAGACAACAAGACTGAGACAGTATTCAATATTATCACAGTTATATCTCCAAATGTCAGCTTTTGTGGGAGAAAATCGTGAAGTTATACATGTTTTAGACGTTTACCAAACCCACGATCACGGGTATGTTGTTGACAAACCTAGAAACACACTCAGGACCAAACTGGGATTCCTACGATCATACGACATAAGGGACACATCTCCCGCACGGCGAATTGCGGCACCTAACACGACTGGGCCATGTTCCACTAAACAATCAAGTTTAAAGTCCAGATATTATCATACCTAGACGACTTCACATGTATAAACATGGACATCATTTTCACCACAGGAATCCTATTTTGTGAAATATACATCAACTTTCCTTTTAACTGAGTGCTGTTGTATTAGCCGAATGCCTTCGTGTCCATGGTATATTGCCCCAAAATATACAAAACAAATCTCTATATATTTTGTGTACATTATTGTAAAATGAATCCGAGTGTGTCAAATGGGGTTTAATCCCGGAAATGTTCTGGAGTGTTCACTGCGTATGCATGATTTAATTATTTATTGTTTTCTCAATCCCAGTTTGTTAACTACAAGTATATTGTTTTCTCAAGCTCAGTTTTTTAACTACAAGTATATTTTTTCTCAATCCCACGTGTCACGCAGCTCAGCGAAATGAGAACAACATCTGTCTAGGTTTTTCTCTACATTGATTCTTTTGAGTTGGTGGTTCACGATCATGATCGATCAAGTGTCACAGTAGAACGTGCCTCATTTATTGTATCTTTTCTGAGAGAGGCAAAGTAGTCGCAGTAGTAGTAGTAGTAGCAGTACTAGGGGTAGCAGCTGTAGCAGCAGTCGTAGTAGTAGCAGGAGCAGCAACAACATCAGTAGTAGTAGTAGCAGCAGCAGTAGTGGTAGCAGTTGTCGTTGTGGTAGCAGTGGTACTAACAGCAGCAGTAGTAGTAGCAGCTGCAGTAGCAGTAGTAGTAGCAGCAGCAGTAGTAGTAACAGTCGTCGACGTCGTCGTAGTAGTAGTAGTAGGAGCAGCAGCAGTAGTAGTAGTATTAGTGAGTTGGGTTTAACGCCGCTTTGACCTGTAGGTTTCTGAACAGTAGATTCGATGTTAAAGTATAACTTGAGCTGCTGAAGTATTGCTTGACATAAAAGCTAAAGTTGGCCATTGGAAAGTTGAAGTCATCCCTCTTGTCGTGCATTACATACTACATATCATGTAATATTTGTTCAAGGAAGGACTATCATAAGATTTGAGGCTAGACCTAGGCCTACATGCTGCGGTATCAGTTTGGACGTACTGTAACGCGAGTTTGCGTTATTTCGCGAGTTCAATCAGCGAAATTTGTACCTCATATGTTGTGAAATGTAGTAGGCTGATGCTTCTGGAATATTGCTAGACATAAAGGAGAGTTAACTACTGGACAGTTGAAGCCATCCATTTAGTCTTTGTTGAAAATGTTTGCCACTTTGTCCGGATTAACGAGGTTTCACGGCATACAGTAACGTCAAACGTGTGTGAATGTTGTTTTGCGTCTCACCAATATTGAAACTATATCCTGGCAGCCAGCAAACGCTCTCTCTACTAAATCATGGATGCGGTATAATTCTTAAGTGTAGATATTGCACAGAAGTAGACTTTACCTGTCCAGATGGGGGATATTCTGTCACGGGTATGCACTTTCCCTCTACACCGCCAGTGAGTGACACCCACACGGTGAGAGAATGCTGTGCAGTGACGCTGTGGTAAGACAGTATATAGCATTATACACTGAATGCTGAATGGTTTATCTGGGTATTGATGCGTATAGAAACACGAGCACATTGCAACTAGTCATCTTATTTATCAAGTATTCCCTGTTGAGGTTATTTACAACTCTCTGTCCAAGATCACAACCGTAGGTCGTGTGTGGTTTGTTAGATTCATTCATATACAGATCATGACGAGTCAACGTTAATCGATAATTAAGTGTATTTGTTGTCAACAATGTGTGTGTATTAATACCCTGTACTGGTTCATAGTCACCACAATCTCCAGTGTGTCACCTGCATACCTACATTCTGTTTACAACACGGAAGTCAGTCGTCTACGTTCGTTATGGTAATGAGGGCCAGTGACCCAGTAGGAATATGGCGGAAGATATTTAAACGTGTTTCGGGGCGGTCGGGTAGCCTGGTGGTTAAAGCGTTCGCTCGTCACGCCGAAGACCCTGGTTCGATTCCCGACATGGGTACAATGTGTGAAGACCATTTCTGGTGTCCCCCGCCGTGATATTGCTGGAATATTGCTAAAAGCGGCGTAAAACCATACTCACTCACTCACTCACTCAAACGTGTTTCAGGGCCTAGACGAGTCAAGAGAATGTCTCAAAAACCGGTTATGATATCAAACCGTTACACACTTAAGAATAATTAAGACTTTGCAGTTGAAAACTGTACGATTTTCACTTATATCATAGAAACGAAGATTAATTAAGTTGTTGTGGTAGTTTTAATTTTCTTGTGTTTTGAAAGAGTAGCTTTATGCATTTGGAATAACAGACTTAGCATGTGGAGTATTAAGCAGCCCCATCTGAGGTTTTGGAGTTTGACCACCGCTTGCTGGGACATCTCAAGGATATCCGATCTTGCACATCTTCATTATAGTCCTTGGAATATACCCTTGAAATGACCCTCGTATATAAGGCCAAGTTATATAAGGTCATTCGTAAGGGTTCTTTGTCATTTTAACTAATTCCGATATGTATCTAACTAAAAGCAACGAAACACTTTCCAAAGCCACAATAAATATCTGACAAAAGCAGCGTCCACTGTACGGTTCCGACTGTATTATGAGCAGTTGTTTATGAATCACTGTCAGCTTTCGCTCGTCACGCCGAAGACCCGAGTTCAATTCCTGACACGGGTACAATGTGTTGAGCCAATGTATGGTGTCCCCCACCGTGATATTGCTGGAATATGGCTAAATTCAGCTTAAAATCACACTCACTCATGAATAAGGTATATGTATTGTGTAAAATGTTCTTCAAATGTTTCAGATGGCGACCTCTCAGAAGCTAACGGAACATTTCCTGACCTGTACAATATGCACAGAGGTGTTTGATAATCCCTGTACGCTTGTGTGTAATCACACCTTCTGTCGAAAATGTGTCGTCAACTACACCAAGACCAGACCAGAAGCCATCAGTGCCAAGTCCCTCCTCTGTCCATTCTGCAACAAGATGACGAAAGTGTCTGCACCAGAGAGACCAGTGGAGGAGTGGGCGGATGACGTCAAGCCGATCTTTATCATCCAGGGACTCTTAGACTCGTTTGGTCCTGGATCTAAAGGTACAGTAGAAGTTGTGTCTCAACAGGCTCGATCTAATTTTCTGAGATTTGATATACAAAAAGTAAATTTAACTGAGATCTGTACCTATATGTATTTCTGCACAGGAAGAACAGTATGTTTTAATGTGATACTTGTTATTATTGTTGCTTCACGTTTGTCCATGGTGTTTTTGGTGTATTTGCCGAAATACATCCTCATCTTACATGTTGGCAATGTCTGCAGTAACAATATCATCTAGTTCACATGAGCTGTGTGAATATTGGAGAAGAACTTGGACAGATGTAGATTCAACAAATAACATAGAAAATACATTGTACTGAAAATAGAATAATGGTTGAAATACACCACATATAGATGGCTCCTCTTCTCCTCTCAATACACACACCACATTGAAGATTAATATACATTTGCAGATACAGCCTCCTGCTGCTACTGTAGAGAGGAAGGGGAGACAACTCCAGCTGTTGTTTGGTGCTCGGTCTGTGATGAGGCACTCTGTGACAAATGTACTGGAGCTCACAACCGCATCCCGTCATTACGGAAACACAAAGTCATTGACCTCTCCGGCGAGGTCACGGTCGGAAGAAGACACAAGGTAACATGTAAAGAGCACAAGGACGAAACTATCAAATATTTGTGTAAAGATTGTAAGAAAGCTGTTTGTCAGACATGCTGCACTATCTACCACAGGAAATGTGACTCGGTCGTCACACTCGAGTCGGAAATGATGGCTGTGAAGACAGAGCTGGTGAAGATGAAAGAGACTTTGTCAAGGAGAAGACACAATCGAAACACAGAGGTGCAGAAAAAGAAATCAGTGATGGCAGAAGAAATACGTCAACATTCACAGACGGAATCCGACATCAAGTCTGCAAGTCTGAAGGCAATACAAGGGATAAAACTCAAGGAACAGAAACTTCTGGACGAACTGAAAGAGATGTCAGACAAACAGATGAGACAACTGAAGGCAGACATTAAGTCAGGGGAGATGTCAGTACAGATGTACCAACAACAGGCTGAGCTGATAGACCAGGCTCTACAATCTGAGTGTGACATGGATGTGTATGAGATGTATCAGGGATGTGAGGCCGGTGATGTGGAGGCTGTCGGAGACCCAGATGTGAAGGAGGGAGGAAGAATAACCGGGGTCACATTCAGACAGGACACAGACAAGCTAAGTAAATCTCTGGACGATCTACAGCTGGGTAAGATAGACGTCATGTATGAGGGTGTGCTGGACCTGAAGGCTACTCCTGTGTTACAGGACACCATTGATGTCAGAGTAACAGGCGACAGTACCACATCATCCCCAAGTAACGTGACAGTGAGGGTGGTGAATGACACAGATACAGTTGTAGTCACCGACTACAAAAACAAGAGTGTGAAGTCCTTCTACACCAGGAATAACAAGACACGTCACAGTAAACTCAGTCTGCGTGGTCAACCATGGGGTCTGACAAAGTTGACACACAACCATGTGGCCGTCACTGTCCTGGACATCAATCAGATTGTAACAGTAGAAGTCAACCCTGACCTGGTGCTTCTGTCAACCATCACAACCAGCAAACAGTACTTGGGCATAACGTCCCTGACACCATCAACACTAGCATCTAGTTCCCGGTCTCCTCCCTGTGTTGATATCCTGGATATGACGGGAAACGTTCTGAGGTCAATCAGTCCACTCCAAAATGGTAACAACATCTTACAATGTCCCGACTTCCTCTGTACCACAAGGACAGGAAACATCCTGGTGTCTGACGGTGGAACCAAGCGTGTCGTGTGTCTGACCCCTGAGGGAGATGTGGTGTTCACCTACTACAGCCCTACAGGAGACACAGCACTGAAGGATCCCCAGGGTATCACAAGTACCAGCACAGGTGACATCCTTGTGACAGACTACCTTCAACACAGCGTCATCCATCTGACGGAGACGGGACAGTTTGTCAGAAACATACTGACACAACAGGACGGTATCAAGGACCCCGAGGGTGTGTGTGTAGACGGACATGGCCACGTGTATGTTTGTCTCAGTTGGAAAGGAGTTATTAAGGTGTTCACATGTAACCACTGACAACGTGTGTTTGTGACATATATATGTGTATAGAACTCTCTCAGGTTGCTGTCGTCTTTAGGAAGGAATTCATAAAAGCCCAAACTGTATGATACTGATTATCCGCAAGTTGCCTTATGGATGACGGTGTACTATTCAGGATATCTCAGTCACATGCATGTCTCACAGTACACGATACATCAACTGTGTTTTAAAGACATCTCCGATACGAGACCTGTCCATGTTACTCTCTAATACATCAACATACTGAAGTAATCAGGATTACCAAGACGTGTGGTGGACGTCATACATTTATTGATTTTATGTGTACATGTTATTAATAAATGTCGACAGACCTGAAATTTGATCTGTGCATATATTTTTAAAGTTCTGCAAGTTCTGTTTTAGAAACGGACTTTGTTGAAGTTAAGTAAAACAGTGAATCAAAAGCTTGAAACCCTTTCCATATTCACAAGAAATCTCTTCCGAAAGCATTTCTTATAAGTCAAGGTAAATAATCAAGAAATGAACTGAATTCAAAAGTTACTTCACCTCAAACTCAACAAGAAGAAGAAATAAAACTGTTATCAAAAATATAATTTATTTTTAAGTTTTTGAAAAGTTAATAGCCACCAATCTTGCTGCGGACAGCCACTGTTCGTCACACCAAGCATGTTAATTCTGCAAGCAAACACAACGACCACTTTTGCAACGTATTAGGTATCCAAGCCACAATGGCTGAGAGCTCTGTTGTAATTGTTGGATTTATTATTATCATTATTTCCCCCCGATTTTTTGTTGTACAAGGGACATGTCAACAGTCAGAGTTATTTCTATTATCACCATATACAATCAGCTCACTACGTACAAGGGGTAATCTATTCTCACTATAACATTTATATTGATGTGAATTTCAACTTAAAATCCTGTGTTTGAATTACAACAATGATAAACTGCAGATGTAAAACGTTTAACAAATCAATTCTAAAACTGTACAATAAGATGACATGTATTTACACAATATATAAAAGAGACAAAGCTGAGTACAAAAGGAGGAAACATGACATCAATAATGTGACTGCAGGTGTATAACAACACAAAACCCACATTTTCTCTGTGTGACCAGGAACATTGTTTTATTTCATCTAGCTCCTAGACCCGGAGGTAGAGTCCCTGAGTTATTATTTCAGGGTGACGATGTTACAGATTTATTTTCTTCTTTTCTTCGTACCAGGCAAAGGTCAGTTGAATCAGATATGCCCGATGGTTATTGGGGATCTGGCACTATGTACAGCCCCAGTGCTTATTTTCATTGACCTGTTTAAGTCCGTACATTTACACGAGGCCTGCGTTAAGTCTCAACTCTCACTGAGAGGAAGTATGTTACTTCAGAACTACACAGGTACAGCATGGTCTTGAAGCACGACTACATATACTACAGCATACCACGGTACTCGTTGCTAGAGATGTTCTCGAGGGAAACAAAAACACAATGTCAGCTGTTAAATATCGAGCAGTTATTCTCCTCTGGACCCTTCCTACAGATCTGAAACTGTGTTTGTATATGTGCAACACTGAGACAGAAATATGTCAACATCAAAGTTGTGTATCACATCACATGGTTACATTATGCATTCAATATTATCCGACTTATAATATCTCTATTCTGTGATGATAAACACCCCAGAGACATTTGCCGCCACAGCTTCGTTTCAGTTGTGACATGCCCGTCCACAAAGACTCCTAGGCACATACTCTGTACAGGACATAAAGGCACAGTGGCGATTTAGATAAAAGATTGCCTTGTCTCTAGCTCACCTGATCTGTAGCTCACCTGGATATGTAGTCAACAGTTTAAAATGTTAGCAACGAAGATTTGGGAGAATTTAGGAGGATCACATTTAGCAGTAACAAGAACAAAGATCTGATGTTCATGAGATATCCTGCGAACCGCGATTCCAACCCCAAATCATGCGCAGCAACACTACACACGAATTCCGGCACCTGCGATGATTGCGACGCATCCCCCCCCCCCCCCCCCCCCCCCTCCCCCCCAACGTGCCCCGACAGCCTCCCACCCCTGGTGAAATATGTGTGACTTTCATAGAGGTTTATGTGTAGCACCCACGAGAAATATATACATTAGTATATAAATATAGTTTTGGAAATCCTCAAGAGGAATTTAGCAATATTCCAGCAATATCACGGCAGGGGACACCAGAACAAGTTGCCTAGCCTAAGTGAGTGAGTGAGTATGGTTTTATGCCGCTTTTAGCAATATTCCAGCAATATCACGGCAGGGGACACCAGAACAAGTTGCCTAGCGTGAGTGAGTGAGTGAGTGAGTATGGTTTTATGCCGCTTTTAGCAATATTCCAGCAATATCACGGCAGGGGACACCAGAACAAGTTGCCTAGCGTGAGTGAGTGAGTGAGTGAGTATGGTTTTATGCCGCGTTTAGCAATATTCCAGCAATATCACGGCGGGGGACACCAGAACAAGTTGCCTAGCGTGAGTGAGTGAGTGAGTGAGTATGGTTTTATGCCGCGTTTAGCAATATTCCAGCAATATCACGGCGGGGGACACCAGAACAAGTTGCCTAGAGGTCAAGTAAGAGATGACACAGTTGACTAAACAGACCAGCTTCATCACACTTTGTCAACAATAGTCAAGCTGTAAAACTTGCGTCAATGAAGGATGGAATCTTGAAGGTTGAAGAGTGGCCACCTTCATCAAGTGTCACACTTTCACAAGAAGGACATGATAGTTTAACTGTTAACTACATTATCACAAGTATATAGGAAATAATTTAAAATTGCCGACAACCAACAAAACCATGAACATGTAGATACGAGACATGATACTGTAAATAGTGTTTCTTCTTGCACAGGCGAAACCAGCTCATATGCATTAAAAGATAAATAAAAACAGATATTCCGATAAACAAGAATCAATGTATATACATATTAAAAGAATACTAATACCTTAAAAGAACTACATAACCCATCCTACTTAATATTATATTAAAAAAGATATTCACTTATTGATAATAATATTTCAATCTTATGTTTCATACTTTGTCCTATCCTATCAAATAAAACATGTTTGATGCTCAGATCCTTCACTAGGGGGATGTGTCAAAAGTTCTCACACTATTTCCAAATCTGAATGTTAGTATAACAATATATATACCCTCTATGAACTGAAGAAGACGTATATTTACCTCGAGAATCGATAGAATTGGATATAACACATGAGAATGACTGAATACAGCAGAACAAAAGGACACATTGTGATAATGAAGGTCTCACTGAAACAATAAGGTTCATGTTTGGAAATGATGAGCATGCTTTTGACACCCCCATTTATTATTTACAAATGTTTCATAAAATATCACATGCTTCAGTGGGGAATGAAGCCTTAAATATGGACAGCTCTTGCACAAATAGTCTTAAAAAAAATCCTGTACAATAGTTAGGATCTTCATCGAGACAGACGGCGATCTTGTGGAGCGTCACCTTTTCTTGCTCGTCCGGGGGCCTTTCTTGTCCTCCTGGAACCCAAGGAATAGATTCATATGAAGCACATGACGCAGGTTGTGTGGGGACAGGCTGTGTTCATGTTTACTCTGCTGCAAAGTAGGTCTGGGACGGGTAACTCGGGTACTCGGGTCAGGTGGGTAGTGAGGAGGACCCGGGTACCCACAGGACTCCCCGGACCTGTTGTTAGTCCTGGATATATTGTTTAATGACAAAAATCTCTACAACTCTATGTTTAAACTACAAGTCACACATGTTCGCAGTTCTTCCTGACTACACCCATTCCTTCTAACTTTTATATGTTTGAATAAAGATAAAACTTCAATCAACTTCAGTGTATATCGTTTCATACGTGTATCTAAACACATTTTACCAGAGCTACAGTCAAACTTTTCCCAATCTTGAGACCTACAGCGGGTACCTGGGAAGGGTCGGGTAATAGGGGATGGGTACCCGAGTAGTCAATTTGGACTCGTCCCAGCCCTCCTGCAAAGTGTGGGAGACATCACCAGTGTAAGCAAGACCTGCTTTGAGTTTTTACTTTTGAAGTATATCATTTAATTTGCATCTAATTTTGATTTTTGACTGGTTAAAAGGTCAGGATTTGATGAAGTAAAGATTCACTGAGCCACCAGGGCAGGTGATGAAGTAAAGATTCACTGAGTTACCAGGGCAGGTGATGAAGTAAAGATTCACTGAGCCACCATGGCAGGTGATGAAGTAAAGATTTACTGAGACTACAGACAGGTGTTGAGGTAAAGATTCACTGAGCCACCAGGGCAGGTGATGAAGTAAAGATTCACTGAGTTACCAGGACAGATGATGAAGTAAAGATTCACTGAACCACCAGGGCGGGTGATGAAGTAAAGATTCACTGAGACACCGGGGAAGGTGATGAAGTAAAGATTCACTGAGACACCAGGGCAGGTGTTGAAGTAAAGATTCACTGAGATACCGGGGCAGGTGATGAAGTGAAGATTCACTAAGATACCGGGGCAGGTGATGAAGTAAAGATTCACTGAGGTAAATAAGGTTTACTGTGCACATGGTTTGTGACAGTGTGCATCACCCTTCAGTTAGTTGATACATGTGCAATGCCATTCCTGCACATCCTAGGGCACTAATGGCGAGCCCAGGGTATAGGTATCAAATACATACAACCCCTCCCCCACCCCTACTCCCCTCACCTCCTCCTTGACGTAGCCGTGCTCCAGCAGGATTTCCCTGGAGAGGTTATTGATGTGCTTGAATCTGTCTGGGCCGAGATGGATGCCACCGTACCACCGAGTCACCACCACCATCACGTTCTCCGCATTCAGAATCTAGAGGAAGAGGCGTCACTATATTGACAATCACCTCATTCAAGATATTTCCCTCCCAGACGGGGTACACAGTATTTTATCAAGATCATGTGCGCCAATCAGATCTCAACATTCTGGAGGTGAGATGATCATAACCTGTACACTACAAAATATCATTGTTGGAACTTGCAAAATATACGTCCATCCTTTGATCTTCTTGAGGCTAACAATAACTGTCAACATTACATGGAACTATTAAAAAAAATGTTTTAATTTCTCTCAGCTCTCTATTTATGCCATATAATATATTATATTATATTATATAATATTTTAGATAATGTATCTCAGTGAGTGTACCACTAGGCTACAGATATACTGATAAATCACAATGCTTGAACCATGTCTTTTTCAAGCACCATATGCCTGCAACAAATATTGTACACCCGATTCCTAATGTTCATGGAAAGCATGTTTGAAATATAAAAATGTTGATAAACGTTGTCTTAAGTTTTTGTTGTTGGATAAAACACTTCTCCTTGGGTTTTTATGATATTTAAAACCCTTGTCCTTGGAATAAAACCTCATATACCGGTAAACCTAAAATATCCTAAAAACCCTCGGGCGGGCTTTATCCTACACGTATAACATCCCCAGCTGAAACAGTTCTCTGTTACATCCCTCGCTGCCCTTACATTGAGGAGATGCAGCATTCTCTGTCCAGCTCCGAACTCTCCGTCGTCCTCACAGCTCTGGTACATGATGTCCGAGTTGGGGACTCGGATCCTGAAACACGAGTGAAGTAATCAGACAACAATCACTGAACAGGCACCTGGTGTCCTGGAGTATTCTCCTGACTTCTTATGCAAGTCCAGGACTCTCAGAAATCATTAGCATACAAATCTGACGACCGCAACATGAGACAGGTGCAGGTGGATTACAGCATCACTTGTACAAGGTGAGTGAGTGAGTGAGTCGGGTTCTACACCGCTTTTAACAGTGTTCCAGTTATATCACGGCGTGTCAGCTTAATGTGGGAGGAAAGCCCGAAGTGATGCAGGTCTCAGACGTTTACCACTTCGGTGAAACCCCCGAGGACGGGTATGGTGCTGACAACCTAGAAACATAATCGAGGTGAACCGGGATTCGAACCCACAATCACTTGTACAAGGGGTGGCAGGGGGTTCCGAGTCAACTATGATGAACTGTGTTGCTAATAGGGCTGGGACAAGTCCAGATTTACTCCCGACCCCCTATTACCCGACCCCCTATTACCCGACCCTACCCACTGTAGGACTCAAGGAGTTGGGAACAAAATGTCCGATTGGAATTGTTTTACCGCTGTCCTGGCAAAAACAGTTTAGATTCATGTATCAAACGATCAGATCATGTGTACACTGAAGCTTTATCTTTACTCAAACATATACAAGTCGAAAGGAATGTATGCATTGTCAGAAAGAAATGCGAACATTAGCGACTTGTAGTGTAACCACTGAGCCATGCTCAGTGTTTGTCATTAAATATATCAGGCGACTAACCACAGGTCTGAGTAGTACTGTGGGTGCCCGGGTCCTACTCAGGATCCATCCGGCCCGAGTACCCAAGTTACCCATCCCAGCCCTTGCTGCTAATCAGTTTTCAACATAATCCCCTCCGAGGTCCCCACACTTTCATCAACGAGTGTTGATATATTTCATATCAAAAGACACAGGGGTGAGATTTTATTTATCATCCAACATTTTTCTTCCGACTATTTTCTGTTTGTAGACAGTAATAAGCAGTGTCTTAGTGTAAAAAGTACTGCTAACAGCTTTAGTAGCAGATCCAATAGTGATGTCATTTGATTGTGACGTCATGGTAACCAATGACGTCACAATGGTCTGCAAAGCATTGTGATGCAATTTCATTGCAGCAATATCTACAATGTTGATATCGCTTGATCTCACCCAGCAATATCTACTGTCGAAGCCAGTTTGAGATGATAAATAGAGATTACTACACGAGTGTCTGTCAGATACCATTTATCTTACGAGTTGTTTCAAAACGTATCTAACGAGCGAAAGCGAGTTAGCTACGCTTTGAAACAATGAGTTGTAAGATAAATGGTATCTGACAGGCACGAGTGCAGTACTGTTTCTTACACACCCTAAAATCGCACCTTTTTAGCATCGACTCGATGCATTTTGTCTGTTCTCATGATCGCAGTAGCGCAATAATACATAACACACCGGTAATGAGTGACATCATCAGACGTACTGCTTACTATTCATAAATAATGTGATCCTACACCTAAACCTAAAAACGTTTCCGCCATCTGTGGATTACAAAGGCGATGATGATAGTGCAAATTGGATAAGATCAAAGAACCCACTTAAAAAAATTCACCTCAAAGAAATTACCAAATATGTACAACTATGTTTACTACCGTATGACATCACTGCCGGTGACCGACGTCTACAACATCGCGTGTTCACTGACACCAGTACGCAGGATTTTCAGAGGACGATTTTCGTTGATTGAGGGATGGTAAATACATAAATGTGTAATGTAAGTAATCAGAAACAATCAGACAATTTGCGTACTGTTATTTGTATTTATGTTTTCCAATGTAACAAAGAGAATTTGTCAGAAATGCAGATAACTACTGTCGTCGTTGTGCGTGTCTTTGCGTCAGTCATGGTGTCACACAGGACGGGAACTTTTACGATTTCTGTTGAATTTCACTGACCATTGTAATGTATATAATTTTAATTCCATAATTCGTGCTTCGATACTCTTCCCACGAATATTCTCAAACGTGTCAGCCAATGTATGCAACAATTAGACGAATTGATCTCTCAAAATGGGAGAGTGTAAAATCTGAATTTTGCTTTGTTTACATTTCATCAAGTACAGTTTTCTGAGCACAGTGTTTGTTTCCACACCTAATTTATTTTGCTTGATGTCATCTCGATAATTTGTATTGGTGACTTTTGTCACTTGATTCTTAAATGTAGGAGGAATTCAGGGATGCAGGTATCGCAGCTGAGTTTGAAATGTACGTGATCTAACAGGCGTTTCATAACCCGCACACTTGAAATGTGATTTTTGTCAACACTATCCAATACGGCGGAAAGTGCTCTTCGGCGTTCGTGTTAGGGTATTTTCCAAAACACTCTAAACGATTCCAGGCTCCTCGGCGACGTCATTGGTGTTTTGGTGAAAAACAGATTCATGTGATCACTAATGTGCTATTTTTGAAATACAATCCTTCGACTAAATATCCGATATTTAGATTTTTAAACACACAGTAATTTTGCTTTGCCTAAAATGACAGTGGATATTTTCACAGAAGAGGCAATTTCCAACAGAATTCAAAGCTTTTAGTGTATGTGATGCATTTCGAATTTTAGTTGACTTCGAAGTGAGGGTTGAGGAGGATAGACATATATATCGTCGGATCATATGTTTTCGGACATCAAACGTTTTCAGTAATCAAACATTTTCAGATGGCAACGTTTATCGCGAATTACACCCGCTATAACGGGGGAGTTATGGAGTAGCCAATCACTGGCCTCGAATTTGATCTCACACATGTTTGATACCAGTTATCTCAAATGGGTTTCTCACCCACAGGTGTTTAAGAAAGTTCTTTCCGCACTCCGACGCAGCGGTGACTTAGCATCACACCACTGACCCTGACTAATTTGCATATCACGAGACCACACTTTTCTCTTGTTTGAAACAAATGTGCTTATTCTCCTATCAGGACTGACCTAATGCAAGCCTTTCAGTGCACGTTACATATTGTTTTGGCATAATTACATAGATATGCTACTACAACTGCGACAGTGATATGCATGACAATATATCTTTATACATGAAAGTGACCGTATTGCTAGCTCTCTGCAGGGCTTCGATGACAGCACATGAAGCGGTACAACCAATGTCAACATAGGATAAATAGTTTTTCACATTTTAGGATATTTTCTCAATGAAAGTTCTATATAATCTATGACATATGTTTATCTAAATGTGTTGACTCATAAAAAAAAAAACAGACGAAAATATGCAATATCTTGAATGGATTGTGTATGATGTGTCGAAATTAGCATCGATTTTAAAGGCTTGTACAGGGGGGTCGTCTTATACGTGGGGTCACTTTATAAACGGCAATATACGGTACTATGGCCGCATGGAACTCTGGGTAGGGGAGGGTGTTTTTTCTTCTTAGGAAGAGGTGGAAATAATGAAGTAAGTTTTTAATCATTGCAGTCCACCTTAAAAAAACAGTGTCAACATCAATTAAACAAAAACAAATAAACAAATAAACACTGTCAACTTGTGCGCTCCTGTCCCCGAGACTCCTGTACACACCTGTAGGCCACGATGTTGTGGGTAGCTGCTGCTATCTTCCTGTTCTCCAGTAACTTATTCCTCACAAGCTCTATCTGAAACACAAAACATCTTATGCAGACAGTATGTTAAGTGCATGTTTGTGTATTCAGTGCATGTTTGTGAAAAGGGGTGTATGTGTTTGTTTGTTTGTTTGTTTGTTTGTTTGTTGTTTAACACTGCACTCATTAATATTCCAGCTATATGAGGGTGATGTGTAAATTATCCCGTCTGGACCAGACAATCCAGTGATTGATATGAGCATCGATCCACGCAATTGGGATACGATGACATGCATCAACCAAGTCAGTGAGCCTGACCACCCGATCCTGTTAGTCACCTCTTACGACAAGCATAATCACCTCTACGACAAGCATGAGTTGCTGAGGACCTTTTCCACCTGGGTTTTCACGTGCGTGTGTGTGTACGGGGATGTATGTGTGTGTCTGTGTGCCAGGATGTATGTGTGTGTACAGGGATGTATGTGTGTGCGTGCAGGGGTGTATGTGTACAGGGGTGTATGTGTGTGTGCAGGTGTGTATGTATGTGTGTACAGGGCTGTATGTGTGTACAGGGGTGTATGTGTGTGTACAGGGGTGTATGTGTGTGTACAGGGGTGTATGTGTGTATGTACAGGGCTGTATGTGTGTGTACAGGGGTGTATGTGTGTGTACAGGGTGTGTGTGTGTGTGTGTGTGTACAGGGATGTGTGTGTGTATAGGGGTGTGTGTGTGTACAGGGATGTATGTGTGTACAGGGGTGTGTGTGTGTGTGCAGGGGTGTATGTGTGTACAGGGGTGTATGTACGTGTACAGGGGTGTATGTGTGTGTACAGGGGTGTTTGTGTGTGTACAGGTGTGCATGTGTGTGTACAGGGGTGTATGTGTGTGTGTACAGGGGTGTATGTACTTGTGTACAGGGGTGTATGTGTGTGTACAGGGGTGTATGTACGTGTACAGGGATGTATGTGTTTGTACAGGGGTGTATGTGTGTGTGTACAGGTGTGTATGTGTGTGTACAGGGGTTTATGTGTGTGTACAGGGGTGTATGTGTGCATGCAGTGGTGTATGTGTGCAGGGGTGTATGTGTGTGTACAGGGGTGTATGTGTGTGTACAGGGATGTGTGTGTGTGTGTACAGGGTTGTATGTGTGTGTACAGGGGTGTATGTGTGTGTACAGGGATGTATGTGTGTACAGGGGTGTATGTGTGTGTACAGGGGTGTATGTGTGTGTACAGGGGTGTATGTGTGCATGCAGTGGTGTATGTGTGCAGGGGTGTATGTGTGTGTACAGGGGTGTATGTGTGTGTACAGGGATGTGTGTGTGTGTACAGGGTTGTATGTGTGTGTACAGGAGTGTATGTGTGTGTACAGGGGTGTATGTGTGCATGCAGTGGTGTATGTGTGCAGGGGTGTATGTGTGTGTGTACAGGGGTGTATGTGTGTGTACAGGGATGTGTGTGTGTGTACAGGGGTGTATGTGTGTACAGGGGTGTATGTGTGTACAGGGGTGCATGTGTGTGTACAGGGGTGTTTGTGTGTGTACAGGTGTGCATGTGTGTGTAAAGGGGTGTATGTGTGTGTACAGGGGTGTATGTGTGCATGCAGGGGTGTATGTGTGCAGGGGTGTATGTGTGTGTACAGGGGTGTATGTGTGTGTACAGGTGTGCATGCGTGTGTACAGGGGTGTATGTGAGGTGAGGTGAAATTGGGTTTAACGTCGCGTCCAAGATTATTGCACTTATATAGCGACGTGCATGCACGTGTATGTGTGTGTGTGGCTGCTTGTACTAGTCCGGACTGATGCCGTTTTATAGTGCTAGCTCACTGAGATACCATGCCGCAGTTTAACATGAATACCCCACTCAGACACAGTATACTGACTCCGAGCCGACCAGTCCTTGTTTTAGCCCCTTAATGTCGAGCGCCAGACAGGGTAACAACAAGTACCATCCTTCAACGTCTTTTGGCATGACGCGGCCCGGGATCGAACCCCGGACCTTCCGCTCTCCGGTCGGACGCTCTACCACAAGACCACGCAGGGGTGTATGTGTGTGTACAGGGATGTGTGTGTGTGTACAGGGGTGTATGTGTGTACAGGGGTGTATGTGTGTACAGGGGTGCATGTGTGTGTACAGGGGTGTTTGTGTGTGTACAGGTGTGCATGTGTGTGTAAAGGGGTGTATGTGTGTGTACAGGGGTGTATGTGTGCATGCAGGGGTGTATGTGTGCAGGGGTGTATGTGTGTGTACAGGGGTGTATGTTTGTGTACAGGTGTGCATGCGTGTGTACAGGGGTGTATGTGAGGTGAGGTGAAATTGGGTTTAACGTCGCGTCCAAGATTATTGCACTTATAGGCAAGAGGAGGCTATGCAGTGACGCTGTGGTAAGACACTATATATCATTATACATTGAATGCTGAATGGTTTATTCCGGTATTGATGCGTATAGAAACACGAGCACATTGCAACTAGCCATCTTATTTATCAAGTATTCCCTGTTGAGGTTATTTATAACTCTCTATCCAAGATCACAGCCGTAGGTCGTGTGTTGTTTGTTGGATTCATTCATATACAGATCATGACGAGTCAACGTTAATCGATAATTAAGTGTTTATGTTGTCAACAATGTGTGTGTATTAATATCCTGTACTGTTTTAGTCCATGATCACCACAATCTCCAGTGTGTTACCTGCATACCTACATACTGTTTACAACACGGAAGTCAGTCATCTACTTTCGTTATGGTAATGAGGACCAGTGACCCACTAGGAATATGGCGGGAGATATTCAAACGTGTTTCGGCTCCCAGTACAGTTTCGAGTCAAGAGAATGTCTCAAATCCAAGCTACCATATCCACAATTGCAGGCTTAACATTTCAATGGAGATGTTTCAGTTGAAAACTGTTTTAATTTTATCATAGAAAGGAAGAATCATTTATAATTATGGTCAGGTGGTTGTTTAACATCTCGCTAAGACAGGTTGTTATTGTATTTTACTGTTTCCTTTTTCAGAAAACTAAGAACAATTCTTTACATATAGCAAATAGACACTATCCGGTGTATGGTTAAGCAGCCCCGTGTAAGCTTTCCCTGAATTTGATAACTGGGTGCATGGACATCTGAAATATATCATATCTTTCATTTCTCAATCATATGGCAGTATGTTTCTTGTACACTTGATATGTCAAGTCAAGGGTTAAGGTCATCCTCAAGGTCATAACCCGAAGCCTGTTCAATTGAGACGAAATATTTTTGAGTGTTCCTTGAATACAAGGTCAAGTTTACTATGAAGGTCATTCGTAATCTGTGTTTGCCAATTTAACTTATGCCGATATGTATTTAAGTGTTATGCATGTACTTGTTATGTTATTTGAAAACACATGTATGACAAGTGGTGACAGGTCACAGTGACCTACTTTCATTTAGCAGCACACGCTGTACTTGTGTTGCCACATTGAATTCTATTAAGGACCAACACGTGTTGTTAATATGCAATCTGGATCGTCCCATGGAGTCGTCTTGAACATTGAGACGATAGTGAAGGTCAAATTGGACCTGAATGTCATACAGTCAAAAATGTTCTTTGTTCACAATAACTCAAGCAGTGTTTACTACAGTAGGAGGAAGGTTTGTATATATCATCTTTGGGGTGGGGCATTTGAGTGGCAAGGTTGTGCACTACCTTTGAATGAAGTTCAAGCTTATTTACTTTCTTATTGAGGTAGCTAGAGGCATCAAACTTTTATTAGTTTCTAAGTTCTCATATTTTCACAACCATTTTGCTCTTCGCTAGTTGAAATCTGTCTTGGCAGAAAAAGTAGACTCAGTTGACTGATTATTCTCTTGAATATTCCCTAACAGGACGTGATGTCATATGACTTACAATGATGTCATTACAATAGACATGCCTTCAGGTTCGCCAGTACTGTCAAGGGTGACTTCTGGAAATGGCGGTGAGGGGGGACTGTAGTCTAGTCTTCTAGTTTCAACAGAATATGTTTAGAACAAAGAAGGCGTCTGCACCATGTCCAAAGTTCAACAAAAACAGTCCTTTATATATACTATGGAATCCTAGAAGGGTCATTGTCGCGATGTTGGCTTGTCACATTGTCACTCTTGCAAAAATAAGCAGTGTCACAGCGTGGGAATGCGACAATGCCACAACACTACACTTTGACCATTTGTCCAATTGTCGCGCTTTGAATAAAACAATTATTATGACGTCAAGCCAATCTTTATCATCCAGGGACTCTTGAACTCGTTTGGTCCGGGATCTAAAGGTAGATACATGTGATTTTCTCCCAGACGGATTAACTACTAACGACAGACATTTTTGATTTTCCCTCAACACCAGAGTATACATCGACACTATGTGCATGAAGCTCCAAACTCGCTGAACTATTGACATACTTGAGTTTTTGCACAATCGTTTCATCTATCATAGGACTCACGAACAAAGACGTTTGAAATAGTGAGTGTTTACAGACTTGCACTTTTGGAAGTATTTCAGGCATTCCATTCATTTCAAACCGTATCTAACTCGCTATGATCAGCACTGGCCTAGGGTGGTTTATGCCTTTGATAATGTTTAGATTTACATAATGTAGGCACATGGTTGTCGTCTTTGCACTGTGCATGAATATCAATAAAATCACTGCAGATATTGGAACTGATAAATAGAATGGGATTATTTAGGACAGGATTTCTCCTCCCCTGTATCGCCCAGCCCTGCAGTCCCACACACTTGTCCCACCAATTCCTGCAGTCCCATACACCTGGCTGCCATGTCCACCCCGTCCCGCAGTCCCATGTCCCTGTCCCGCTCTGTCCTACCCATCCCTACAGTCACATTCCCCTGTCCCGCACTGTCCTACCCAGCCCCGCAGCCCCACACACCTGTCCCACCAATTCCTGATCCCATTCCCCTGTTCCCCCCTGTCCCACCCTCGCCTGCAGTCTCATACACCTGTCCGCCCTATCCCACCCTCGCCTGCAGTCTCATACACCTGTCCGCCCTATCCCACCCGACCCTGCAGTCTCATACACCTGTCGCCCTATCCCACCCTCGCGTGCAGTCTCATACACCTGTCCGCCCTATCCCACCCACCCCTGCAGTCTCATACACCTGTCCGCCCTATCCCACCCTCGCGTGCAGTCTCATACACCTGTCCGCCCTATCCCACCCGACCCTGCAGTCTCATACACCTGTCCGCCCTATCCCAACCACCCCTGCAGTCTCATACACCTGTCCGACTTATCCCTCACATCCCTGCAGTCTCATACACCTGTCCCTCCTTGTCCCTCACATCCCTGCAGTCCCATTCCCTTGTCCATCCCACCCCTGTAGTCCCATACACCTGTCCGTCATGTCCACCCCACCCCTGCAGTCTCATACACCATCCCACCTTGTCCCTCCCACCCCTGCAGTCCAATTCCCCTGTCCCGCCCTGTTTCTCCCAACCCTGCAGTCCCGTTCCCATGTCCCGCCCTGTCCCAACCAACCCTGCAGTCCGATTCCCCTGTCCCACCCACCCCTGTAGTCCCATTCCCCTGTCCCGCCCTGCCCCCCCCCCCTCCTCCCCTGCAGTCCCATTCCCCTGTCCCGTCCTGTCTCTCCCAACCCTGCAGCAGTCCCATTGCCCTGCCCCTCCCTGTCCCTCCCAACCCTGTAGCCCCATTCCCCTGCCTCCCCCCCCCCCCCCCAACCCCTGCAGTCCCGTTCGACTGTCCCGCGTTGTCCCAACCAGCCCTGCAGTCCCATTCCCCTGTCCCGTCCTGTCCCTCCCTACCCTGCAGTCCTATTCCCTTGTTCCGCCCACCCCTGCAGTCCCATCCCCCCGTCCCTCCCACCCCTGCAGTCCCATCCTGTCCTACCCACCCCTGCAGTCCAAATCCCGTCCCCCAACCCCTGCAGTCCCATTCCCCTGTCCCGCCCATCCTTGCAGTCCAAATCCCCTGTCCCCCAACCCCTGCAGTCCCATTCCCCTGTCCCGCCCTGTCCACCACCCCTGCAGTCACATTTCCCTGTCCCGTCCTGTCCCGCCAACCCCTGTAGTCCCATTCCCCTGTCCCACCCTGTCTCCCACCCCTGCAGTCCCTTTCGACTGTCCCACCCTGTCCCTCAAACAAACATGTATTGAAGGGTCTAAGAGTTCAGGACATAAAGTGACCAGCTACTGTGCACACACGAACTGGGGACTAAATAGATTTCCATTAGTGATAACCTGTATACCAAATGCTAAAGTAAGAAGGTTTTATTTAATTGTTCCATCTCCTGGAGCTGATAGTGTTTCCGTTGCTAGAAAGATATAAGGAGATATAAACACATGTAAATAGTTTAAGTGGGTGAAATGTTATTATGCAACTGTAATGTGTTTACAGAGACGACCTACTGTACCTACTGCCAAGAAGATGGGGAGACAACTCCGGCTGTTGTTTGGTGCTCGGTCTGTGATGAGGCACTCTGTGACAAATGTACTGGAGCTCACAACCGCATCCCATCATTTCGTCAGCATGACGTCACTGACCTGTCTGGAGAGGTAAAGGCTAAGGGAAGACGAAAGGTCAAGGTCATGTGCAGAGAGCACAGACAGGAGTCGCTAGAATTTCTCTGTAAGGATTGCAAGAAGGCAGCGTGTCAGAAATGTTGCATCATTTACCACAGGAAATGTAACGCCGTTGTCACGATCACGTCACAGATAACGACAATGAAAAAACAGCTGAGAAAAGTGAAGAAGGCATTATCAAAGAAAGAAGATGAAATGAAACTACGTGTGAATGAAAAGAAGTTGAAAGAGAAATTAGGGAGAGATCATTATTCACTGATGAAATCGAACATTCAGTCCGCAAAGTTATAAATCAGGCCAAGGAGAAGGAGAGGAAGCTGTTAGATCAGATGGAAGACATTTCATATAAACACATCGGGCAACTGAAAGCAGACATTAAGTCAGGTGAGATGTCAGTACAGATGTACCAACAACAGGCGGAGCTGATAGACCAGGCTCTACAATCTGAGTGCGACATGGATGTGTATGAGATGTATCAGGGATGTGAGGCAGGTGATGTGGAGGCTGTCTGAGACGCAGATGTGAAGGAGAGAGGAAGAATAACTAAGGTCACATTCAGACAGGGCACGGACAAGCTGAGTAAATCTCTGGACGATCTACAGCTGGGAGAGATAGACGTCCTGTATGAGGGTGTGATGGACCTGAGGGCTACTCCTGTGTTACAGGACACCATTGATGTCAGAGTAGCAGGCGACAGTAACGTATCGTACCCGACTGACGTGACAGTGATGGTGGTGAATGACACAGATACAGTTGTAGTCACAGACTGGAACAACAACAGTGTGAAGTCCTTCTACACCAGGGATAACCAGACACGTCACGGTAAACTCAGTCTGGGTTGTAAACCATGGGGTCTGACAAAGTTGACACACAACCAGGTGGCCGTCACTGTCAGGAACATCAATCAGATTGTAACAGTAGAAGTCAACCCTGACCTGGTGCTGCTGTCAACCATCACAACCAGCAAAAAGTACTGGGGCATAACGTCCCTGACACCATCAACACTAGCAGCTAGTTCCCAGTCTCCTCCCTGTGTTGATATCCTGGATATGACTGGAAACGTTCTGAGGTTAATCAGTCCACTCCACAATGGTAACAACATCTTACAATATCCCAGCTTCCTCTGTACCACGAGGACAGGAAACATCCTGGTGTCTGACTTTGGAACCAAGCGTGTCATGTGTCTGACCCCCGAGGGAGATGTGGTGTTCAACTACAGCCCGACAGGAGACACAGCACTGGAGTTTCCCCAGGGTATCACAAGTACCAGCACAGGTGACATCCTGGTGACAGACTACTCTCTACACAGCGTCATCCATCTGACGGAATCAGGACAGTTTGTCAGAAACATACTGACACAACAGGACGGTATCAACTATCCCCGGGGTGTGTGTGTAGACGGACGTGGCCACATGTATGTTTGTCTTATTAGCGGAGTTATTAAGGTGTTCACATGTAAACACTGACAACGTGTGTTTGTGACATATATATGTGTATAGAACTCTCTAAGATTCCTGTCGTCTTTAGGAAGGAATTCATAAAAGCCCAAACTGTATGATACTGATTATCCGCAAGTTGCCTTATGCATGACGAGATGTATTCAGGCTATCTCAGAGCTGTTGTTTGTGTCAACCTGTGTGGGGTGTGTCAGTACCTAGAAAATTTGAAACATTGCAAACCCAAAGTGACGGCATAATGAAACGATGTATTTTTTGTGTGAAAATAACTAAATGCCTGTAGTATTCTTTTCCCCGTTGACGGTCATACATGTGTTGTTGATTTTACTTGTATGTGTTATAAAAAGATATGTTGATAGACCTAAAATTGGATCTGTATCAATATATTTTTAAAGTTCTGTAAGTGCTGTTTTGGACTGTCCATGTTTCTCTCAAAATACATCAACATAGTGAAGTAATCAGGATTGCCGAGACGCGTGGTGGACGGTCATTCATTTTTTAATTTTACTTTTACGTGCTATTAATCAATGTCGATAGACCTGAAATTTGATCTGTGCATATATTTTTAAAGTTCTGCAGGCTCTGTTTTTGACAACTGGTACTTTTAGAAACGGCTTCTATTGACATCCACAATGATTCTTTACTTCCATATTTTAAGAAGTGAGTCAGTATGATTTTACGCCACTTTAAACAGTAGTTCAGTTATATTACAGCATGTTATCTTCATGTGGGAGGAGAGCCAGAAGTGATAGAGACCTGAGACATTTATTAAGTTTGTGAAACCCACCAACCAACGATCGTATGATTTCAGCACGCTTTGCACAGACACCCCTGTCTTCGCCTCGCATCACCTTCTCCTCCTCACTGAAAAGAAACCCCTGTCTTCGCCTCGCATCACCTTCTCCTCCTCACTGAAGAGACACCCCTGTCTTCGCCTCGCATCACCTTCTCCTCCTCACTGAAGAGACACCCCTGTCTTCGCCTCGCATCATCTTCTCCTCCTCACTGACAGACACCCCTGTCTTCGCCTCGCATCACCTTCTCCTCCTCACTGACAGACACCCCTGTCTTCCCCTCGCATCACCTTCTCCTCCTCACTGACAGACACCCCTGTCTTCCACACACATCACTATCTCCTCACTGACAGACACCCCTGTCTTCCCATCGCATCACCATCTCCTCACTAACAGACAACCCTGTCTTCACCTCGCATCACCTTCTCCTCCTCACTGACAGACAATCCTGTCTTCCCCTCGCATCACCTTCTCCTCCTCACTGACAGACACCCCTGTCTTCGCCTCGCATCACCTTCTCCTCCTCACTGACAGACAACCCTGTCTTCCCCTCGCATCACCTTCTCCTCCTCACTGACAGACACCCCTGTCTTCCCCTCGCATCACCTTCTCATCCTCACTGACAGACACCCCTGTCTTCCCCTCGCATCACCTTCTCCTCCTCACTGACAGACACCCCTGTCTTCCCCTCGCATCATCTTCTCCTCCTCACTGACAGACACCCCTGTCTTCCACACGGATCACTATCTCCTCCTCCATGACTGACACCCCTGTCTTCCCCTCGCATCACCTTCTCCTCCTCACTGACAGACACCCCTGTCTTCCCCTCGCATCACCTTCTCCTCCTCACTGACAGACACCCCTGTCTTCCACACGGATCACTATCTCCTCCTCACTGACAGACACCCCTGTCTTCGCCTCGCATCACCTTCTCCTCCTCACTGACAGACACCCATGTCTTCCCCTCGCATCACCTTCTCCTCCTCACTGACAGACACCCCTGTCTTCCCCTCGCATCACCTTCTCATCCTCACTGACAGAGACCCCTGTCTTCCTCTCGCATCACCTTCTCCTCCTCACTGACAGACACCCATGTCTTCCCCTCGCATCACCTTCTCCTCCTCACTGACAGACACCCCTGTCTTCCCCTCGCATCACCTTCTCCTCCTCACTGACAGACATCCCTGTCTTCCTCTCACATCACCATCTCCTCCTCACTGACAGACACCCCTGTCTTCCCCTCGCATCACCTTCTCCTCCTCACTGACAGACACCCCTGTCTTCCCCTCGCATCACCTTCTCCTCCTTACTGACAGACATTCCTGTCTTCCCCTCACATCACCTTCTCCTATCACTGAAGCGACACCACAGTCTTCCCCTCACATCACCTTCTCCTATCACCATCTCCTCAGACACATCTCTCCTCTATGCCTCCATCTCCCATCTGGGATTTGAACCCACGACAATAGGATCCAGGCACTCCTGACTTACGCAGCTCTGCACATGGTGTTTAGTAACTCTTCAATCCTTGAAAATATTGGACCTTTGACTACATAGGCTATTCTTCTCCTTAAAACACACCGTTACCGTTAATACTTTGACAGAACTTTCTCAAACAAATTATTTGAAAACTTAACCAGAAATGTTTGTCGCCTGTATTTACAGTGTTTGAGTCGTGATGTGATGTACGTGGATTATGATTTCTGCTGCTGTTGCACGTGCGCCAAGCTTCGTCGAGAGCTGATCGTAACGATACGAGGTTCACGACTCTATCCAATTACGTGGGGACCTAAGCGTGAACTTTTGAAATCGCTTGCACGTTTTAAATACACGGTAACTAGAATTAATGGGCCCTGACAAGGATATATATTGAACACACAATGCCATTTAGAAAGTGTTACAAATGTAACATATTTGGGATAACACTTTCTTTATTAAAGTATAGATTCTCATACTTTTTTTAGTTGAGTCCCGTCCGGGATTCCAACCCACACTGCCAGTGTTATCCCAAATATATTTAGTGCAAGGATTTATATGTTTATCTGATCCTTAGTTTCTTCTCGTCAAAGGTTTATCTAGCTTTTTTAAACGCGAACATTGTTACAGGTAACAGGCTGTAACACGACATTATGCATATCACGTTCTGAGCTTTTAAGGATTTTGGATATTGGAAATTATAAAAAAAACTAATTTAACTGTGATGTGTCGCCGTATCCGAGGTCAACTATCACACGTCATCAAATCATACAAATCGGATTCTAGCCACGCTGGAGACACATGCTCCGATAACATTAGTAATCATTCACTTGATTGTCAAACTACAACTACGAACTATAGATCAGTCTGTTCCGAGTGACAATCAACCGAAATGTCTGTTCAAGTTAAAGTGTAATTGATAGCCAACTACATTCTTAAAAAAATAATGGAGCTCTTAAACAATGGAGGACGTTACATATATCTTTAAAAACGAACCCGTGGATCGATTACACTGAACCAGGTTCTATCTGGATTAACAGGGTATTACGGTTTACAATAACTGCCTGAATGTTGTTTTACGGCTCAGTCCGCAATATTTCAACTGCATCTTGCCCCCCCCCCCCCCCCACACACACACACACACCCCACCCCCCCATCTTCAGTAGTCGGCTAGTACAAGAATGGTGCACTACACATCTACTCAAACTGTTGAAGATCAAACTTACCCTCAAGATCGCACAAAATGTACTTCGTTCACACAATAACCTAAGAAGTGTTTTTAGTAGTAGGACGGACCGCCTCCATGGTCTTGTGGTAGAGCGTCCGACCGGAGAGCGGAAGGTCCAGGGTTCGATCCCGGGCCGTGTCATACAAAAAGACGTTGAAAGATTGTACTTGTTGTTACCCTGTCTGGCGCTCGGCATTAAGGGGCTAAAACAAGGACTGGTCGGCTCGGAGTCAGTATACTGTGTCTGAGTGGGGTATTCATGTTAAACTGCGGCATGGTATCTCAGTGAGCTAGCACTATAAATCGGCATCAGTCCGGACTAGTACAAGCAGCCACACACAAACATACATGTGCATGCACGTCGCTATATAAGTGCAATAATCTTGGACGCGACGTTAAACCCAATTTCACCTCACCTCACCTAGTAGTAGGACGACAGCACATATCACCCTCAGGGTGGGAAATTTGTAAGGCAAGGTTGTGAAAAATGTTTGCGTGAAGGTCAGGCCATTAAACCGGAAGTGCCTCTTTCGTATTAAGGTTGCTAGAGGCGTGGGATTTATGTTGTAACTTTGCAGTTCGAATGTGTAATGTTGTTGAAGTAAATATGAAACAGTCTTATCACACATGTCTGTGCTGTACTGTAGGAATGCCAGTTTTAAAGGATTTACTACCAAATAAAATAGCAGTAAGCATCTTGGAAAACCAAGCTCATCTTACGAGAATCCCAACGGCCAAACATAATTATAAAAACACTGCGACTTGTTGTTTGTGGACACAAAGTGTGACGAGATTTGTATGTAAACACACATTCTGTTGTGTAAACTAGTCACGTGTCATTGGAATTGAGATGTGGGTTTTTCATTAGAGGAGAGTCTGACTCGTCACCGTCCTACTTAAGGAGATCGCTCAGGTGTGTCATTGTGTCCACGCTAAACACGAGATATTCGGACAGTTCTCGGGCTTCGTTTACCAGAATCTAATTACCAGCGAGGTAATGTTGCGTGTGTATTTGTCTCGTGTTTCCCTGGCCGGTGCTCTGGTATTCAGTGTGTCAGGGAGGAATGAGGTGCATGTAATGCATTTTCGATAGGTAAATGATCTAACTTAGGTGACGCCGATATGTGCTGTACACGTTGCACCAACGGTTGACTTCACATTGGGTGAACACGTTTCTTGTTATATGCCTGCAGCACATGTACTCTCCAAACAAAGTAGGGGGTATTCGGGAATAACAGATGATTACAGAAAAACAAGAGATATCGAGTATTGTCTCACAAGAATATACGGATGAAGTGTGTTTGATGAAACACAAGAGGGCGAATATCCTCGCTGTTCACATCCACTAAGTGGCTACAGCTCCAGAGATCTGAAGTTCTCAGTTTCAGTCTTGAACACGACCACCAAGAACACGATGTTTCACAAAACAAGTTCCTACGATTCATGTATTCGTGTATCCTCACATGTTCTCGATGCCTATCTATCTATGACAGTCTATCTATAGTAACCTT